ACCTACATTTCGCACCCTGAAATGTAGGGGTGCGATCTTAGCTCACTGCAACCTCTGCCTCCCAGGTTCAGGGGATTCTCCTGCCTCAACCTTCCAAGTAGCTGGGAGTACAGGTGTGTGCCACCACACCTGGCTAATTTTTGTATTTTTAGTAGAGACAGGGTTTCACCATGTTGGCCAGGCTGGACTTGAACTCCTAGCCTCAAGTGATCCACCTGCCTTGGCCTCCCAGAGTGCTGGGAATACAGCCATAAGCCAGCTATACCTGTTCCTCCCCTTCATTCTTCTTCCCCTCCACAGGTTGGGGAGCAATCTTGGACCACATGGAAGACGGCAACTACTCGGGACAGCAGAACAAGCAGCAGAAGGGGCCTGGGTGACTGACACCTGGGGCCAGCTGAGCTCATCTGCAGTTGGCTATGCCCAGACTCTTATGTGGGAAAGAAAATAAACTTTGGTTTAGTCCATTATTTTTTGGTCTTTATTTTGAGACAGTCACCTAGGCTGGAGTGCAGTGGTGCAATCATAGCTCACTGCAGCTGTGAACTCCTGGGCTAAGCCATCCTCCAGCCTCGGCCTCCCCAAGTGCTGAGATTACAGGCATAAGCTGCCTGACCTCCATCTAATATTAAATCACAAAATGGAATTACCTAAGTCTGCATCAGCTGAAGAGAGGAGAGGCTGTGGTAGACCCGGAGCTGTGTGTTCAAGGCAGGACGAGCCACAAGCTGGGTTTTGTTCCATCTTTTGCGCTCATTTCCCTTTTAGCGAGTTGTGGATTTTCAGCAACACTGGGAAAAATAAAGACGATGCATATTGTAGGCTGGCACAGGTGGAAGCTCTAGAACTCCGAGAGTTCTTTAAAGTTCCCACATACTGTAACCTAAACAGAAACACCCTATCATATCCAAAGAATCTGTGCCATCCCACTCCCAGCATTTTAGTGAGTGCCTGTGTATGCCTGTATCTGCTCAAAAGAGCTTTTTTTAAAAAGGAGCTCTAATAGGAGATTATTTCTGCTGTGCTGTAGTCTGCTTTTTTTCACTTATAAATGTATGACCCAAATTTTGTCATCATTTAAAATTATGTGTCGAGCTAATTAATTATAAAAAGGACTCTTACAAATCAACAAGACAATGCAATGATCAAAAGATAAAGCAAGAACTGGTTTCATTAGTGGCCCGTCAGTGGCCTCTGTGTCCAGGCTGTGAGTTCTGCCCTCCTACAATCATTCTGGACATGGCCATGCCTTGCTTTGGCCAATGGGATGGGAGCATCTACACAAACAGAGCTGAGATTGGAAACACATTCAAGTTTCTTTCCTCTCTTGAATCCCTGCCACTGTTATGAAAATTAGCCTGGTCTAGCCTGACGGAGAAACCATGGGGAGCAGAGCCAGCTTGGTCCAGCCAAGGCCATCCTATACCAGCTTAGCAAGCCACTGGCTGACTGGACGCAGGAGTGAGCCCGGCTATAATGGCCAATAAACAGATCTAAAAATCTTCATTCTCTTTTTTTTTTTTTTTTTTTGAGACGGAGTCTCACGCTGTTACCCTGGCTGTAGTGCAGTGGTGTGATCTCGGCTCACTGCAATCTCCGACTCCTGGGTTCAAGCAATTCTCCTGCCTCAGCCTCCCTAGTAGCTGGGACTACAGGTGTACACCACCACACCCAGCTATTCAATCTGATTCTTACGAAATGCAAGGTCAGGTGTGGTGGCTTAAAGAGGCCAAGGTGAAAGGATTGCTTAAGGCCTGCGTTTGGGACCAGCCTGGCCAACACAGTGAGACCCCTACAAAAGTGAGATCTCTACAAGACTTTTAAAAATTAGCTGGAGAGGTGGTGCATAACTGTGGTCCCAGCTGCTCAGGAGGCTGAGATGGGAGGACTGCTTGAGCCCAGGAGGTCAAGGATGCCGTGAGCTGTGGTCAGAACACTGCACTCCAGTCTGGGCAACAGAGCAGGACTTCTTTTTTTTTTCTCTAAAAAAAAAGAAAAAAAAGAAATGCAAAATTAAAATCATGAGGTGTTATATAAAGTGTGATACCATGGCTGGGCATGGTGGCTCATGCCTGTAATCCCAGCACTTTGGGAGGCCGAGGTAGATGGATCACCTGAGTTCAGTTTGAGACTAGCCTGGCCAACATGGTGAAATCCCATCTCTACTAAAAATACAAAAAAATTAGCCAGGCATGGTGGTGGGTGTCTGTAATCCCAGCTACTTGGGAGGTTGAGGCAGGAGAATCGCTTCAACCTGGGTGGTGGAGGTTGCAGTGAGCCGAGATCGTGCCACTGCACTCCAGTGTGGGTGACAGAACAAGACTCCATCTCAAAAAAAAAAGTGTGACACCACGCAGCTTTGGTAGTGGGTGTGCCTGGGAAGGAATCTTGGCAAAAGCGAGTGATATAGATATCTGTGGTGTTCAGGACCCATCCCAGCCTCCTGTGCATGTAAGCCCCACACTGCAGACACAGGGAAGTTGCCAGCTACATGCCCGAAGCTCCTGTAGGTCCAGATTTTGAGATGTGAGTTGGATTCTGCTAATGGCTTGAGTTTTGGAAGGTAGAGGCGAAAGCTGTCATTTCTGCTTTCACTGGCAAAGGCTGCAAGTGATTTTCTGTGGAGTGTTCTCATCATTTTGGCCTCTAACTGCGGCAGAGGAAGACAAGCTTCTGCAGTTGGAAGCGGAGCCAACAGCTTCCTACACTGGCAAAGATTTTCCTATGAGGCCGGGCGCGGTGGCTCACGCTTGTAATCCCAGCACTTTGGGAGGCTGAGGCGGGTGGATCACGAGGTCAAGAGATCGAGACCATCCTGGTCAACATGGTGAAACCCCGTCTCTACTAAAAATACAAAAACATTAGCTGGGCATGGTGGTGCGTGCCTGTAATCCCAGCTACTCAGGAGGCTGAGGCAGGAGAATTGCCTGAACCCAGGAGGCGGAGGTTGCGGTGAGCCGAGATTGCGCCATTGCACTCCAGCCTGGGTAACAAGAGTGAAACTCCGTCTCAAAAAAAAAAAAAAAAAAAAGATTTTCCTGATTGAAAAGGCAGTTCTTTTTGAGGCCCAGGTCTGAAGAACAACCCTTGATATTGTCCCTTGTCCCTGAAAGTTCAACGAGATCTATTCTCAAGCCTTCCTGACAATTCTGCGCACCATTAGGACCCTGTAACAAATCTCCTTCTATGTTAGCTGGCTGGAATGAATGCTACTCTCAGCTAACTGAACTGTGACTGATACAGTTAGCAACCTAAAAAAATGCACAGATCCTTTCATCTGCTTCTAGGAATTTATCTTCTGGTCATTCACAGAAGGACACAAAGATGTATCCATGGCACAGCTGTTTATAATAACTTAAAACACCCCAGAATGTCCTAAAACGTCCAGAAGTAGGAAGCAGCTTAGCCAAATTGTGGCACATCTGAAAGATGGACTATCAGAAAGAATGCACCATTACGCAAAGTTAAAAAGAATGAAGTAGATCTTTAAGAACTAATAAGAAAATAGAAATGACAAAACAAAAAGAACGAACAATGCACTATGTTAAAAGTTGCGAGAGTATGGATTACATGATCCTACTTGGAATAAATGATCTTATTTGTACTGTCTGAATTATTTTTCACCAGGAGCAAATATTTTAGAATATAAACTCACTAAAAATGGAATAAAGTACATGACATCATATATAACCTTATTCAAATCCAAGGATAATTCCTTGAAGGTGTACCACATGTAGGAGCTGTGCACAGCCTTCTGGGGTTTGTGAGTAGGACCCACGCTGGGTACAGTGGCTCACTCCTGTAATTCCAGCACTTTGGGAAGCTGAGGCGGGTGGATCACCTGAGGTCAGGAGTTCAAGACCAGCCTGGCCAACACAGCGAAATTCTGTCTCTACTAAAGATACAAAAATTAGCCGAGAATAGTGGTGGGAGCCTGTAATTCCAGCTACTCGGAAGGCTGAGGCAGGGACCCATGAGAGCCCATGGAGCCAGGGATGTGGCAGGATCACTGGCTGTATAGGGGCAGCTGAGGGTCCCTGCCTGAGGTTTTCTCCACCACGGGCAGCTGCTCTGGGATAGTAGGTAGAAAGTTAGAATTCACTAAGATGGACAAGCTTGTCCAACCCATGGCCCACGTGGCTTTGAATGTGGCCCAACACAAATTTGTAAACATTCTTACAACAGTGAGGTGTTTTTTTTTTTTTTTTTTGAGACGGAGTTTCGCTCTTGTTACCCAGGCTGGAGTGCAATGGCGCGAACTCGGTTCACCGCAACCTCCGCCTCCTGGGTTCAGGCAATTCTCCTGCCTCAACCTCCTCAGTAGCTGGGACTACAGGCATGCGCCACCATGCCCAGCTAATTTTTTGTAGTTTTAGTAGAGATGGGGTTTCACCATGTTGACCAGGATGGTCTTGATCTCTTGACCTTGTGATCCACCCGCCTCGGCCTCCCAAAGTGCTGGGATTACAGGCTTGAGCCACCGCGCCCGGCCTGAGGTGTTTTTTTAAAGCTCATCAGCTATCCTTAGTGTTAGTGTATTTTATGTGTGGCTCAAGGCAATTATTCTTCTTCCAGTGTGGCCCAGGGAAGCCAAAAGATTGGATGCCCTGCTTTTGGAGGTGAGGGATGTGTTTACTGCTTTGACTGTGGTGATAGTTTCCTGGGTGCACAAATATGTCTGAATTCATCAATTCAGATCAAGTGTTTCCCCCTGAATCACCTGACCTGGGGGACAGAGTTTGCAGTGAGCCGAGATCACACCACTGCACTCCAGCCTGGGAGACAGAGCAACACTGTCTCCAAAAAAAAAAAAAAAGTAACTCACCTCCAGGGACACAAGACTCAGTGGCCTTGACTACCACATTCATAAATAGTTCTCTAACTTAAGGTGAACCATGTGATGACTGCTACAACGTGCAAAGCAGGAACAGGGGAGGAGAAATTAATTCTTGTGAATCTGAAAGATGTTTGACTGCTCTGCTGGGCATGAAGAGATTATGCCAAGAGCTAATTTTTTACTAAATGCTTTCTATTCCTGGGTTCTTTGGGAATTGCTGACATTTATTATTTGCTACACACCAGACACAGTGCTAAGTGGCTTAGATGCAATGTCTTTTTTTTTTTTGGTTATCAGATAACCCTGTCTTAAAATATTTTCCTTTGCACTTTTTAAGTAGCTGGGGATTCCATTGCTCCACTGTTGGTATCATCTGCGATACCATCAACATTACAGCTCACAGACTGGGCAGTTCCCAGGAATTCTTTAATGGTTCCAGAGAGTTCTCTGGCTAAAAAGACTGGTGCTGCATCTGTTGGCAATGTTGATAATCTCATCAAAAGTGGTGTTTCCACTGTGTTTTTTTGTTTCTTTCTGTCTACTGGTGATTTCTGAGGGTTGTGATGATCAGGGCAGAGGTGGAAGGCACCACCTCACTCCGGGCCTGTCTGTTGTGGCTGGTCAGTTTCACTGTCATCCTCAGACCCTTCCAATCAATGACTGGTGATGCCATCAACAACCATTTTTGGAGACAGACCCAGGGGGCTGACCTTGGGAGCGAGCGCAGATGTGGCACTGACTTTGTCACTGGTGTACCTCAGATATACAACTTTGATCTTGCTGGGGTCAAATGTAGGGCGCTGGGGTCAGTTGAACTCAGCTTCAGGATGACTAAAGAAAGTTGCACTTGGCCTTCTCTGAGCCGAAAAGTGAAAGGTGCCATGTCTTACTCAGGCTCCCAGCAACTCTGTGAAGAAAGTTATTATCATCTCAGTTTACAGATGAAACTGAAGCTCAGAGAGGGCAAGCAGCTAGTGCAAGGTCCCACAGCTGGACTCAGGGCTGCCGGCCACAAGGCCTGGCTCTATATATTGTGCAGTCAGAGAAGGAGATTCCCATGTAGTTGGAAGAGAGGAGGGAAGGGGAGGCTGGTGCTAGATAGTAAAAAGCTGTGTGTTTTGGGCATTTCCCCTGTACCAGACATGGTGCTAAATGACCCTTTTGCTCTGTTTGCCTGGAAAAGTCTCCATCCTAGTGAATTCTAACTTTCCACCTACTATCCCAGAGCAGCTGACTGTGTTGGAGAAAACTTCAGGCAGAGACCCTCAGCTGCCCTTATACAACCGGTGATCCCTCCACGTCCCTGACTCCATGGGTTCTCAACACTTGGCCTCCCCAAAGCAGCGTCCACACCAGCGTTACTTGGGAACTGGGAGACATGCAAATCCCCCAGGAGAGGGAAAGGGGAGCTGCCCTCAATTCAGATCAAGTTTCCCCTGTGCCAGAAGAATCAGTCCTCTAGATGGGTGGGCAGCATGCCACCTGCAGTGACTGTTACTGTGCTGTGCATTCACAAAGTTAGAGGGTAGACCTCATATTAAAAGTTCATATTCGTACCACAAAAAGCCAAAAAAAAGCAAAGGGGCGGGAAGAAACTTTTGGACAAGCTTGTCCAACCCGTGGCCCAGGTGGCTTGAATGTGGCCCAACACAAATTTGTAAACATTCTTATAACAGTGAGATTTTAAGGATAGCTCGTCAGCTATCCTTACTGTTAGTGTATTTTACGTGTGGCTCAAGACAGTTATTCTTCTTCCAATGTGGCCCAGGGGAGCCAAAAGATTGGATGCCCTGCTTTTGGAGGCGAGGGATGTGTTTACTGCTTTGACTGTGGTGATAGTTTCCTGGGTGCACAAATATGTCTGAATTCAGCAAACTGTATACATCAAGAATTTGAAGATTTGTATAACAATTATACCTCAATAAAACTGTTACAGAAAGGAAAAGAACAAAAGTGCAAATTCTTACACTCTACCCTGGACCTATAGGCCCAGCCCCCTGGGGCTACGCAGCCACCTGTGTTCAGACGGTGGTAGCCTGAGAAGCACTGCCCAGGTCTCTGCTCCCCTAACTCCTCAGACCTCCCAGACTGTGTCCTCACTATCGGCTGATCACCTGCTTTCCTATTTCACTGGGAAGATGAAGCACCTAGGAGACACTTGGTGTCTCCCAGCACCAAGTGCGCCAGCTCCTGCTCTGTGCCCTTCTGCTTGGCTTTCCTCTTGAGGCTGGGGAGGAACCGGCAGAGAAACAAACATTTCCCCTCGTGCACAAGAATCTACTCAATGTGGTCTGCAGAGCAGGGACTCTATGGCTGCTCCTGGAAGCAAGCTGGGGTTGCCAGGGGAGGGGGGAAATCTGCATCTTAAAAATTTTCTAATTTCAACTTTTATTTTAAATACAGGGGATACATGTGCAGGTTTGTTACGTGGCTGTATTGCATGATACTGAGGTCTGCAGTAAGGATCGCCTCACTCAGGCAGTGAGAATGGTATCCAGTAGGTAGTTTTTTGACTGGCCCAGCACCCTTCCACCCCTTCCTGCGGGAATCTGCATTTTTTTCAGGATCCCTAGGTTTGAAGGAATCTACATTTTAACAAGACTCTAGGTGCTTCATATGGACATTAGGTTCATTCCTCCTCCTCACTTCCCGTCTGTTGGAGCATTCTCTCAGCAGTCAATCTATAAACTGTAATCTGCTCCATTAAAAAAAAAAAAAAAAAATCAATCCATATCCCTCTCCATTGCTTCATTTTCCAGCTCCAGGCCCTGCTTTCCAATTCTCTCTCAAACCTGCTCTGATCCTTGTCCAGCTCCTCACCGACCCCTTCGCAGAGGCCCCCAGTGCACCCACACAATGAGGTCAGCATTGGCTCTGGGCCTCTCCCTGTGACTCTGCCCAGGCACCAGCCAGTCCTCATTTGCTCCCTACTGCTTTTTTTTTTTTTTTTTTTTCCCGAAACGGTCTTGCTCTGTCACCCAGGCTGGAATACAGTGGTGTAATCACAGCTCACTGCATCCTTGACCTCCTGGGCTCAAGCAATTCTCCCACCTCAGCTTCCTAAGTAGCTGGGACTATAGGCACACCATGTGCAGCTAAATTTTTGTGTTTTTTATAACAACAAGGTCTCACCATGTTGTCCAGGCTGGTCTCGAACTCCTGACCTCAAGCGATCTGACCATCTTGGCCTCCCAAAATGCTGGGATTATAGGTGTGAGCCACCTCGCAGGGCCATTGCTATTTTTAAAATGTTGTTTCAAATGCCCCCAGGGTGTCACTCCCCTTGAGGATGTGCTGGGCCTTCCAGAGTAGGAAGAAGGAAAAAGAGACTGGTTCACCCATGCTAAAGCCAGGAAAGGCACCTGTTGGTAGAAATGCCTACAGGCCCCTCCTGTTGCTGTGCTCAGGCCAGAAGCTGCACAGGGCATGGGCCGATAAACACATCCACTCTCTGTGTTTTCCCAGGAGTGAGCAGGCCTGTCCTTAGTATCAAGGCAATCACATTCTCAGCATGGTGGTAGGAGGCAGGGTTCTGGGAATGCTTCAGGATGGGCTAATCACACAGGCCAATCAAGTTCCTGCCATCACCACAATCAGCAGAGGCCAGCCCTCACTCCCATCTTGTTTCTTTCTCAATCGAAATCACATCACCCTTTCCAACTGAATTGAGTGCAATTTTTAAAAGTGTAAAAACAGCCAAATATAAGTCCACCTTATTATTCATTCTTGTACGAAATGCAATAAACATGCCCCACCCTCCGAGATACTGGCAGTGGACTTTTACCTCCTCCTCACCCTGCTTCTTTTCTTTGTCTGAGAAGGAAATGCTCCTTCTGCATCTGGAGCTGAGCTTTCCAACGGCTTCTAAGCCTACTTCCCAGACTTTCTGCAGGGCCTTGTCCCACAGAACCCTCACTTCCTCACTGCTGGCTTCCTCCCTCTCCAGGCTTCTTTCCCAGTCTACAAACATGCCACACGCTCAACCCCCCATTTACCCTCTCAGAGAAAACTATTGTCCTGTCAAACCACTTTCTTTTCTTTCCTTCACCACACAACGCAGTCAAAGGTGCAGAGTTGCTCAGGCCTCTGCGCAGCCTGTGTCTCCCACCCACTGGTGCAGGTCAACCTTTGCAGATCAGCTTGAATAGCTGTTTCTGTCCCTAACCGGCCACCCTTGCCTCCAGTTGAATTTGACAGAGCTCTACTGATTATTCCATCTACATCTTAAAAATTAAATGGAAACCAATGAAAGAGGCAATACAGAAGATTCAATATGGACAGTAATACAATGGAGCATCAGACAGTCATGAAACACGACATTCACAAAGTTGTAAAGAGCATTAGGATTTGCTTGTAATATAAAGTTAGGGGGCCAAGGATGGGCGCGGTGGCTCATGCCTGTAATCTCAGCACTTTGAGAGGCTGAGGCAGGTGGATCACGAGGTCAGGAGTCAGAGACCAACTTGACCAACATGGTGGAACCTTGTCTCTACTAAAAATATAACAATTAGCTGGGCATGGTGGCTTGCACCTGTAATCCCAGCTACTCAGGAGGCTGAGGCAGGAGAGTTGCTGGAACTCAGGAGGCAGAGGCTGCAGTGAGCTGAGATCGCGCCACTGCACTCCAGCCTGGGTGACAGAGCAAGACTGCATCTCAAACAAACAAACAAACAAAAAAGTTAGGGGTCAAGCAAGATGGCTTACACCTGTAATCCCAGCACTTTGGGAGGCCGAGGCAGAGTTTGAGACCAGCCTGGGCAACATGGTAAAACCCCAGTCCCTAGTAAAAATACAAAAATTAGCCAGGTGTGGTGGAGGGCGCCTGTAGTCCCAGCTACTTGGGAGGCTGAGGCAGTAGGTAGCTACCTCCTGGGTTCAAACTCCTGACCTCAAGTGATCTGTCCGCCTCAGCCTCCGAAAGTGCTGGGATTATAGGCATGAATCCCCATGCTCGGCCCTATATGCATTTTGAAAGACTACGGGGGAAATAAGAGTGGTTCCATCTGGGTGGTGGAACTATAGATTATTTTTGTTTTCTCCTTTACTATTTTCTGTATTTCACAGTAAGCCTTAAAAACAAGTCTGGGAGACTAAAAGGGACATTTTTCTGGTCTGCCACCTACTGGTGGATTCTAGCAATGTCTCGGGTTTATATTAAATTCAGTGCTTGCTCCTCCCTCTTCTTACTGCCTGAGCTCCCTCCCTACAGTTCCCTCCAGCTTCTTTAGCCCGAGTTTTGCCATCTCGTTTCCATTTTGTGATCCTTTCCGTCTTGTCTTGTATTTTCTCACATAATTTTTTTTGGTAATATACGTTAGATCCTCACTATTTTCAAGTGATTACAATTTTTACCTCTTTGCATCTCTTTTCTTCTGCTTAGATTGTGCTTAATAACACACACTCACCATGGCAGCGAGTATGCTTTTAGGACCAGCTGACAGCCCTGGCAGAAGTGGGTCTTAGTTGAGGCAATCAGAAATCCTAGTGAAAGTGTAGTGCCTGCTCTGGGAGGCAGGTTAAGCCACCATTGGCAATCAATGCCCTTGGTCAAATTAGTGACAGCCCCCTGGCAGCCATGTTGAGGTGGAGCTGAGCCTGCGCACTCCTGGGAAAACACAGGGAGTAGATGTGTTTATCAGCCCATGCCCTGTGCAGCTTCTGGCCGGAGCACAAGCAACAGGAGGGGCCTGTAAGCAATTCTACCAACAGAGCTCTCACACTCTCACATCTCTCATTTAAGAGATGGCCGCCACTGTGGTCTAGGAGGAAAGTGTGAGAGCTTTCTGCAGGAGCTGCAGTAGGGATGGTGTGGAACAGGCAGATGAGAGAGCTGCCCAGCAGCTGTCCTCTGCAGGGACTCCTGAAGAGGGAGGACTCATGACTGACTCCCAGCTTTCCCACACGGGTGGGGTGAACTGTGGTGTCATCAACCAAGGCAGGAAAGCAGGCCTATATGTCAGTGGGTCGTGGGGAAGGCTAGGTGTTGAATAAACTGACAGCCTCAGGAAACCCATGCAGAAATGTAAGCAGGCGGTGGAAAGTAAGGGCTAGAGAGAGATCTGAGTGTTACCGACATTAGGGTGTAGCTGAAACCCAAGGCAGGGATGGGAATGCTTCGGGAGAAAACTCAAAATGAGGGAGATGCTGGAGACAGAAGCGGGGACACACGAGCATGGTGGGCTGGCCTGACAAAGGAGTGCAGAGGAAGAGAAGGAAAAGGCAGAAAGAAAAACCCAGGAGTGTGTTATTGCATGTGGCAAGAGTTCAGAAGCAGGTAGTGAACTGAAAGGATCAGTAACCTAAGGGCTAAAGGTGTATCACTTGATATGGCAATTAGGATGTCACTGGTACACAAAAGGAAGAGTCTGCACAGAGCAGTAATAACAAAGCCAGACTGCAGGGGGGTGGGAGGTGCCTGTGAGCTGAGGGCAAAAAGTAGAGACTCTTTGTGAAAGTGTGTATGGGAAAAGATGCTTGAGAGCAAATAATAATGAGAAGGGGCTGCATGGTGCAAGAGTCAGAGGACAAAATGAGACAATCTAGGTAAGAGCTTAGCACTCTAGCCTGCATATAGTAAATTGCAAGTGCTTTTATCGCCCATTAACTATATAATAATTTTAAATTTAAAAGACAAAAATCAGTCCAAGGAGCCGGCATACCAGTGGGGGAGAAAAACAATGAACAAAACAAATAACTAAATTATATTGGTACATTTGTTAACAGCAAATGCTAAGAAGAAAAAATAAACTGGGAAAAGAAGTTATCAAATCTTTGAAGAAAAGGATATAATTTTTGACTGGGAGGCCTGGGCAGGCCTCACTGAGAAGGCGATTTGTAGGTAAAGACCCGAAGGAGGTGAGGAAAGTAACTATAACTAATAGAAAAATATCAATTATCATTGGCACAGCATTCCTCATATACTATTGTTATGGAAATATCTGGTTATTATTCTATTATTGCTACTGTCTTTGTCTCAATTAATGTTCTTTATTTATTTTTTATTTTTTTGAGACGGAGTCTTGCTCTGTCACCCAGGCTGGAGTGCAATGGTGCAATCTTGGCTTACTGCAACCTCTACCTTCCAGGTTCAAGTAATTCTCCTGCCTCAGCCTTCTAAAGTAGTTGGGATTACAGGTGCCTGCCATCACACTGGGCTAATTTTTGTATTTTTTTTTTGAGATGGAGTCTCACTCTGTCGCCCAGGCTGGAGTGCAGTGGCAAGATCTCTGCTCACTGCAACCTCTGCCTCCCGATTAACGCGATTCTCCTACTTCAGCCTCCCAAGTAGCTGGGATTACAGGTGCACACCACCACGACCGGCTAATGGAGTTTCACCATATTGTTCAGGCTGGTCTCAAACCCCTGACCACAGGTGATCCACCTGTCTTGGCCTCCCAAAGTGCTGAGGTTACAGGCATGAGCTACTGTGCCCAGACCACAATTAATGTTCTTATAATCACTGCCATCTCTGGGTGTTTAGTGGTTTCAGCAGTGGCATCCGGTGACCATGGTTTCTATTACAAAGGTGTGTGGAATCCAGGAAAACAGAACGACACGCTGTGTTGTCATCATCAGCTGGTTTGTAAGGTCAGAAGCAAAGCCAAATGGAAGCTGATCATGCATGCAGCTACTGGAAACACAAAGCTGCTCATGTGGTGCTGAGAGGAAAGAGGGCAGTCCCAGGCTGATCTTTCAGTCCCACCTGCACGCCTGAAATATGTGCCCAACAGGACCATCTTCAGACCCAGACGGCATCAATGCAGGCATCTCTGAAGCAACAGAAAAGTGGCAACTGCATCTCAAATCAGTGCAGATGGAGAGAGCGTGTAATTTAGAGGTCACAAGACAGGAGTGTTTCTACCAGAACAGTGATTTGGTGGTTAGAAACAGGAATCTGCTGATGCCATCTGGGAATAATTAAGAGGAACAGGAAATTCTTGCTCTGTGCCAAGCTAAGCCTAACACTGAGAATAAGGTGGGTGTGTAATAAGCATTTGCTGGATCACACTGAACAAGAGGATTCAATGTTGCTTGCAATTGATGCATATTATTAAAAAGACTGATCTCGAGTAATAATTATTCTTTGCAATTCAGAGAAAAGGATCAAAAAAGGAAAAGAAAGAAAAGGAAAAAAAGGAGAAAAAGAATCTAAATGCCTGAGGACTCATCCTATCTTTAATTCATTTTAAGAGGCTACAAAATTTTTTAAAGCTAAATGTCGAGTGTTTCATTCCTTAACAGTCAGAGGGTTCCTTGGGTAGACGGGACAGGATGGAAAACAGGTTTTAAAGGCAAAAAACTCCAATCTTCAACTCAGGTTAACAGAAATTTTGTAAATATCCTAGTTACATTTTTTTTTTTTTTGTTAGACAGAGTCTCACTCTTGTCACCCAGGCTGGAGTGTAGTGACATGATCTCAGCTCACTGCAACCTCCACCTTCTGGATTTAGGCAATTATCATGCCTCAGCCTCCCTGGTAGCTGGGACTACAGGCATGCACCACCACACTCAGCTAATCTTTGTATTTTTGGCAGAGATAAGGTTTTATCATGTTGGCCAGGCTGGTCTTGAACTCCTGGTCTCAACTGATCTGTCTGCCTCAGCCTCCTAAAGTGCTGGGATTACAGGCACGAGCCACCATGCCCAGTCCTTAGTTACATTTTCTAAATGTATTTATTACTGAAGGGGGCCAACACTGAATCTATCTATTAAAACTAACAAAACCCCACAAAATTAAAACTTGATAGCTTAACTAGCAGTCCTTAGAGCATATAAAAGCTTTTATTAATTTCTTGTAAATGCATGTGTAAACAGATTATAAGCATGCCCTCCCTGGTTACAAAACCAAGTGAACCATTGTAATGGTCAAGTAAAAGCCTATGAAGGAAGAAATTAAACAGGCCAATTACATTTTACAGCTCAAGCTAATAGCAATTTATGTTATATTTTTAATATTACCATAGTATTTTATAATACTATGATAATATCATAGTGTTTTATAATTTTTAAAAAATATATTATCGTAGTATTTTATAATTTTAATATTATCATAGTATTTTTAATATTATCATAATATTGTTATCATTTTAATATTATCATTTTTAATATTATTATCACGTAGCAGTTATTATAAGATATTTCAGCTGGGCACAGTGGCTCACGTCTGTAATCCCAGCACTTTGGGACGCTGAGGCCAGTGGAGGTCGCAGGTTTGAGACCAGCCTGACCAACATGGTGAAACCCCATCTCTACTAAAAATACAAAAATTAGCTGGGTGTGGTGCTGTGCGCCTGTAATCCCAGCTACTCGGGAGGCTGAGGCAGGAGAATCGCTTGACTCCAGGAGGCAGAGGTTGCAGTGAGCCAAGAGCGTGCCACTGCACTCCAGCCTTGGTGACAGAACCAGACTCTGTCTCAAAAAAAAAAAAAAAAAGATATTTCATGTATTTATAAAAGTGTGTATACCATATTATATTCATGCATGGTATGTGCTTCTCTAAGGATTCCATAGCCTGACCTCACAAACTATCTATTCTACTTTAAGAGTAAAACACTGAGATATGGACTACAGAAAGATTATGGCTGTGCTCAGGACTTCATAATGTGCCTGTCATGGAGCTGGGAACCCAGCCCCCCGATCACTGGGAAATCCTTAGCAGGAGTGGGACATGCAGGATGGGAGAAGGGAGGAGGAGGAGGAGATGGAAAACTGGCTCCCAACTGGTTTTGCTGAATCTGTGAATGACTTAAGAAGCAAGATATGAATTACCATGTGCTTTATTGCCTCCTCTTGGAAACATCCTATGTCATTGAGCTGTGGCCAAAGCCCCAAAGGACATCTGATCTCTTTGTGAGCTGCTGAGCCAGGGTGCCCATGATGTCTTCAGAATCCTTCAGTCCTGACTGCAGGAGAAATTTGGCGCAGGCCAAGTGCTGACCTGCACAGGCCAGATGCAGGGCTGAGGGGTGACAAAAATCACACAGACTTAAAACAGAACCCCTGGAGCAATACTGACCTCATGAGTTGATAGCGCTCAATAAAAAATCAACTTTTAATATCTTTCATGAGTCACCCTTACAACTTCACCTATTCTAGATCAAAATATTTTTCTTTTTAACCTGATTGGGTTGAAAATAGTTTTAAAGATAACAAAACCAGTTAAAGACCATTTAAGAAACTTATCTAGGCCGGGCATAGTGGCTCACGCCTGTAATCCCAGCATTTTGGGAGGATGAGGCGGGCAAATCACAAGGTCAGGAGTTCGACACCAGCCTGACCAATGTGGTGAAATCCTGTCTCTACTAAAAATACAAAAAATTAGCCAGGTGTGGTGGCATGCACCTGTGATCCCAGCTACTCAGGAGGCTGAGGCAGGAGAACCCAGGAGGCTTGAACCCAGGAGACGGAGGTTGCCAGTGAGCCAAGATCGCACCACTGCACTCCAGCCTGAGTGAGATTCCATCTCAAAAAAACACCAACCTACCAAACAAACAACAATTTATTAAAGCAACCAACGGAACAAGTTAACAAGAAATAGGAGGTGTCCTCCCCATACTCCTGAACACTCTGGAAACACACTTTACATGGTACAGAAAACTTTCTAAAAGGTTTGTTGAATTTGCTTTGTAAATAAAAATATCACCACGAATAAGAATTGTGTAGCCAAAAAAGCACTGTTGAAGAAGCTTCCCACTATGGATATTTCAGCACTGAGGTTCCTGGTATGCTGAGTCCAGGAGCACTGCTGATTCTGCTGCCTTCGCTCCAGCAGGGAAGCCGTGAACCTTCCTGGGCTGAGCATATGCCCTTTCAAGCCCTGGAGTAGTTAGGTATCTGCAAGACTTTGAAGCATTAGAAAGATCCCACTAGGCCAGGCACGGTGGCTCATGGCTGTAATCCTAACACCTTGGGAGGCTGAGGTGGGCAGACCACTTAAGGTCAGGAGTTTGACAGCCTGGCAAACATGGTGAAATCCTGTCTCTATTAAAAATACAAAAAATAACTGGGCATGGTGGTGAGTACCTGTAGTCCCACTACTTGGGAGGCACGAGAATCGCTTGAACCCAGGAGGCAGAGGTTGCAGTGAGCTGAGATCATGCTACTGCCCTCCAGCCTGGGTGACAGAGTGAGACTCCGCCTCAAAGAAAAAAAAAAAAAAAAAATCCCACTAAACCCTTGTGAGATGGCCTTTGGCTCACAGGCTGTTAGAGGGTTTATTCTAAAGTTGAAGTCTAAAGAATTAGCTCTCAGAATATGTTTCTGAATATTCTAAATTAACAAAACAAACATAGTGAATATAGTTCCTAAATATACTCCAAAACAGATGACCTGTGAAGAATTTATACAATACCTGGATAGCAGGTGTCATCATGCCCTAGAAAGAAACTGCTTTTATGACGCATATGTCATTAAGATTTAAAATAATAACAAAAGTTGGGCCAGGCACGGTGGCTCACACCTATAATACCAGCATATTGGGAGGCCGAGGTGGGCGGATCACCTGAGGTTGGCAGTTCAAGACCAGACTGACCAACATGGAGAAACCCCGTCTCTACTAAAAATACAAAATTAGGGGGGGTGGTGGCATCTGCCTGTAATCCCAGCTACTTGGGAGGCTGAGACAGGAAAATCACCTGAACCCAGAAAATAGAGGTTGCAGTGAGCCGAGATCACACCATTGTACTCCAGCCTGGGCAACAAGAGTGAAACTCCCTCTCAAAAAAAACGAAAACAAAACAAAGGTTAACAATAGCAGTTGTAATGAGTGGAGTCATCATCATTGTTATGTTAACAGCAATTGTACCACCGTTTTGCAGAGGAAAAGATATTTTAAGGAAAAGTTACTGAGCTATGAGAAGAATAATATTAAGGCCGGGCATAGTGGTTCATACCTGTAATCCCAGCACTTTGGAAGGCTGGGGCAGGTAGATTGTTGGAGGTCAGGAGTTCAAGACCAGCCTGGCCAACATGGGGAAACCTCGCCTCTATTAAAAATACAAAAATTAGCCAGGCATGGTGGTGCATGCCTATAATCCCAGCTACTTGGGAGGCTGAGGCACGAGAATTGCTTGAGCTGGGAGGCAGAGGTTGCAGTGACCCGAGATCGTGCCACTGTACTCCAGCCTGGGCGACAGAGGGAAACTGTCTCAACAACAACAAAACAACAAACAAACAAAAAAAAAAAAAAAAAAAAAAAAAAGGACAGTATTAAAACCAGTGTTTTAAATATAAAAGTGTATTGGTTATACTCAGCTTACTAATTTCCAAGGCATATATAAAATTAAACGGTACCTGATCGATTTTTTTCATCTTTAGAGTTGATGTCAGCTCCAAAGGATAAGAGAGTCTGAATTGTACTTGTATGTCCTTCCTGAATTGAAACAAATTTATTATCACTGTGATGAGGATAAAAGAAAACCTTTTGCAAACCAAAAAGTATTTGAGACAGGTCTCAATGAATTTAAAGAGTTTATTTTGCCAAGATTAAGGATATACCTGGGAGACAGGTCTGTGTCTTTCTCCAAAAATGATTTTGAGGGCTTTAACATTGAAAGGGGAAAAGAGGGCTGGAGTGAAACGGAGGAAGTTATGGTCACATTACTGAATTTACTGAATCCACGATGCAAGATAAAAGGGGCAGGCTGGGGGAATAGGCAATAGTATATTAAATATCTGTTTCCACTCAGTAAATTGGCGCTTTACATAAGATAAGATGAATATAGCTACCTGTGGAAATATTTAACCCTTTATCTGTAGCTATCTGCTCAGGAACAAAAGGAAAGGCAGCTCTCTGCATGACTCAGCTTTCAGTTTAATTTTTTTTTTTTTCGGCAGAGTTGGGAGTCCCAGGTTTTTATTTTCCTTTCACACTGTAAACACAGACGCTAACACATATTAGGCACGTTTTCTAAAAGAGTCAACTGCCAGAAGTGAATTTTCATATCCTTTTTTTTTTTTTTTTTTTTTTTTTAAAGAGACAGGGTCTCACTATGTTGTCCAGACTGATTATGAACTCCTGTGCTCAAGGGATCCTCCCACCTCAGTCTCCCAAAGTGTTGGGATTACAGGTGTGAACCACTGCGCCCAGCCAAATTTTCGCATCTAAAGTAAGAATGATACAAATTTTTGTATCACTCTCAATTCTAGTATAAATCATTAAATATTTTGATGACATTTAATTATTATAATATAGATGATCAACTCTGTGAGCCAAATTACTGACCCAATGCAGTTACTTTCCATCACTGTGAGCAGTATATAAATCTTGTGATTTATACAGAATCCACAACTCTAAAATATTCCAAGCAAATATACACTTGTTAAAATCTTCAGGACAGAGATAAACTAGAAAAGATCATGACCTCTCATAAATGGGAATTCCTATTATAGCTAGCGGGATATTATTTAAACATTGTATTTTATAAATATAAAATATTTATAAATCAGTTAAGTCTGCTACTATGTAATAAGACTACAATTAAGGTTCCAGGTTCACTCTTCCTGTAAGACGACCCTGTAGCCACAGAGCACTCAGCCTATCCATGTGCATCTACCCAGCTTCGGCACAAGCAGGACATCAGGCAGGAGAAAGTGGTTGATTAAAAAACAAATAGGCTGGGCACAGTGGCTCACACCTATAATCCCAGCACTTTGAGAGGCGAAGGCAGGCGGATCACTAGATCAACAGTTGGAGACCAGCCTGGCCAACATGATGAAACCTCGTCTCTATTAAAAATACAAAAATTAGCTGGCTATGGTGGCATGCATCTGTAATCCCAGCTACTCAGGAGGCTGAGGCAGGAGACTCGCTTGAACTTGGGAGGTGGAGGCTGCAGTGAGCCGAGGGGACACTGCACTCCAGCCTGGGCGACAGAGCAAGACTCCATCTTGGAAAAACCAAATAAAGGCATAGAACCATAGATAATGTTAAAGATAATAGGTAAACCGTTCCTAGCATTTAAAATAGCTACTTTTCCAGTGAAAATGTTTGCTCATCTTCATATTTAACACCCCAGAGAGCCTGGTAAATGCAATTCTCTTGCCCTGGTTGAAGATTTCTTAACTTCTGAAATTCAGTGTAAGAATAGAGAGCCAGGGAGGGGGTTGCCAAAAAAAAAAAAAAAAAGAAGAGAGAGCCAGGAATTTCATATAATGGGTATTTACGGCTTCAAATAACATTAATTCTGAAAACAAAAACGTGTGTGTGAGGGGGAGGCATTTTATAGAGTAAAAGGCTTTTTTAGAAGTTTTTGCCTAGAAACAAAATAAAGTCAGGTTTCTATTTAAAGAGATAAAGGTCTTCAGAATCCTGACCATTTCAGGAGAATATCATGGGCAATTCTTCCATAGAGACGAAAGAAACGACGCTACAGAGCTACCCAATCAATGGAGTAAGGCAAGCCTGGGGGAAGCTGGGATGCCGTCATAAGAAGTAACAAACCTTAGCTGCATAATGAAGTGCTGTGAGGTGGGTTGATGTGGCTCTCACATCTACATCAATGCCAAGTTCGGAGACCAAGAATCGGATGGCTTCGTCCTGCCCTGTGACGGCTGCCCTGTGCAGAGCCTGGGCACCCAGGCTGTCTTCTGCTGAAAGACAAGCCTAGCCGGCAGAGGAGAGAAAGGAGCAAAGGTCAAAATTAAGAAACAGGGAAACTTAGAACTGGGCACCTGCTGGCACTTCAGCAAAACTGAGCTGTTTACACACAATTCTCTGGGCAGAGGATACGTGGCTTTTGTCTGATTCTCAAAGGACTCTCTTTTTTTTTTTTTTTTGAGACAGAGTCTCACTCTGTCGCCCAAGCTGGAATGCAGTGGCACGATCTTGGCTCACTGCAACCTCTGCCTCCTGGGTTCAAGTAAGTCTCTGCCTCAGCCTCAGGTGTGTGCCACCATGCCTAGCTAATTTTTACATTTTTAAAGATGGCTTTTACCATGTTGGCCAGGCTGGTCTCAAACTCCTGACTTCAGGTGACCCATCTGATCTGGCCTCCCAAAGTGCTGGGATTACAGGCATGAGCCACCACGCCTGGCTCTCAAAGGGCTCTCTAATCAAAAAGATGGTTACGCTTCAATGTTCCAGGCTATGGTGCCAAAAGCACTATGAGCAGAGACAGTTTGTTGTTATTATTGCTATCAAACAGCTACCATTTACTGAACGCTTTGCTAACTGCTTTATGTACGTTATATTATTTAATCCTTATAAAACTTTCTGAAGAAACTAAATTTGTCTCCATTTTACAGATGGGAACACTGATGCTTAAAGGGGTCACCAGGTCCCAGAGAGGGAGTATGGAGGGGCTGGGAATGGAACATGGGATCTGAATAACAATGTGCTCTGCTTATCCTGTGACATAATGTTTGTAGGAAGAACCAAAAGAAAAGAATAAAAACAAAACCATTTCGATACCCCATGTTCATTGAGGAGCAGCCTAGCGATGTCGATGTGACCACACTGGATTGCGTCCATCAAAGGGGTGACGCCACAGTTGTCTCTGCAGTCTGGTTCATATTGGCACCTGGAGCCAGAAACCCAAGTAAGAGCTAAGAAAATTTACCACCTTAAACCCAGGGGACAGTTGATACCTGATTACCTGCAGATGGACTGCATGTGTGCAAACAACCTGTGAGTGTGGAGCTCTCTCTCTCTTTTCCTCCATCTGTGTCTAAACTGAGGACTAGGCCTTCAGGAGCGTGATGGTCTTCCCCAGCAGACCAGCTGCTCCTCTGACCTTCTCCATCCCATTTGATGGCACTTGGTATCTTCAGCTTCCTGCACCAGAGGCCATGAAGTCGTCTCTTGCCACTGCCTTTCCCTCATCCTTCATAATCAAATGATTACCCCCATCCCTCAATTCCACAGCCAAAATATTTAAGACATCTGTGTCCTGGCCAGGCATAGTGGCTCATGTCTGTAATTCCAGCACTTTGGGAGGCTGAGATGGATGATTCAACTGAGGTCAGGAGTTCAAGACCAGCCTGGCCAACATAGCAAAACCCCGTCTCTACCAAAAACATAAAAAATTAGTTGGGTGTGGTGGCGTGCGCCTGCAATCCCAGCTACTTAGGAGGTTGAAGCAGGAGAATGGCTTGAGCCCAGGAGGTGGAGGTTGCAGTGAGCTGAGATTGTGCCACTGCACTCCAGCCTGGGCAACAAGAGCGAAAGTCCATCTCAAAAAGAAAAAAAAAAGGAAAATCCTTAATGTGGCTGATAGTATTCATTCTCCCTCCACTTCATTGTTCAGGCCGCAGTATATTCTAGACACCTTTCGGTTTCTTAAACGTACCACACTTTTTCCCAGTTCGGAGCATGCATGGGTGCTGTTATTGTTGTCTGGAATACTCCCTTGCTCACACTTCAGCTAATTTATTTTTCTCCTTCAGGTCACAGCTTAAACATTAGCGCTGAGATTCTTTACCCTTAAGCCGAATTGGGTCTTCCTGTTATTTGTTCTGTAGGGATCCTGCAAGTCCTTGTAATGCACACCAGACTTTTGGGACTCTTTCACGGTCTGTCTTTCCTGCCAGTCTTGTGTGTTTTAGGAGGGTAGAAACTACGCGTGTCTTGCTTCTGTTGTGGCCCCTGCACCTGATACAGGGCTTACTTTATATTAAGCACGAAATGAATGTATAAATGCTTGTTGAAAAAAACAGAAAAATGGATGATTTTGCCATTGAAAATATTTTCCCCAGATATTTGTAAATTATTTTTGTTTCATATTCTTTATCTGCTTATGTCTTTTGTTCATTTTTCTTTTGAAAGCCCAGTTTCTTTCTTAAAAATCTATCTGAGCTCTTTATGTAGCACTGATATTAACTCTGTCATAGTTAGCAAATATTTTCCCCCATTTGCTGTATTATTCTTACCTCTCAAGAAGCACCTTGACTGCCTCTAAATGGCCATGCATTGCTGGGAGGAGAAAGCTGAGAATTAGAGCTTTTTAGTGCACATATAAAATGCTTCCTGCCACCTGTCTCTGTTCTCTGCCCCATTCTATTAGTAACAACTTACAAGGAGTCATTAAATTGGGTATGCTGTTACTACCAGACAAAAATAAACATTTAACGGAAGTGGTGAACAATAATGTTTTCACTTTACATGTACACAGCCAACACCTGATTATCTTATCTTTATGGGTTTATATGCACTTTCACGGGAAACTTTCAATCCTAAACTTACACTTCTGTGTTGCAAATCCCCAAGGCTAGTCCATTTTTTCCCAGGAATTTCAAAACATTGTAACAGCAATCCATGACCAAATAGCCTGGAATTTAACTCCCCTACTAAAAGTAGCTATACTTAAATGTTATGACTATTTGTTTTCCACTATTATGGGTGAATGATGGAGTGCTGATTGCTTCTCCTGCGGAAAACTGGTCAAATAATTCATCAGCTAAAAAAAAAGTTTCCTACTTATTTGAAAGTTTTAGAAAGGATTCCCTGGTCACTAATTGCCAACTGTGGCTACAGTATAATCATTCTAGATTTTCTAGACTACAGGCTGGGAGCGGTGGCTCACACCCATAATCCCAGCACTTTGGGAGGCCAAGGCAGGTGGACCACTTGAGGTTAAGAGTTCGAAACCAGCCTGGTCAACACAGTGAAACCCCATCTCTGCTAAAAATATAAAAATTAGCCGGGCATGGTGGCATGCTCCAGTAATCCCAGCTACTCAGGAGGCTGAAGCACGCCTGAATCACTTTAACCTGGGAGTTGGAGGTTGCAGTGAGCCAAGATTGCACCACTGGACTCCAGCCTGGGCAACAAAAGCGAAACTCTGTCTCAAAAAAAAAAAAAAAAAAAAAAAAAAAAAAAAATTATTATATTCCAAAAGGCCCCTATGTGTTTTTTTTTTTTTTTTTGATATGGAGTTTTACTCTTGTTGCCCCACGCTGGAGTGCAACGGGGTGATCTTGGCTCACTACAACCTCCACCTCCCAGGTTTATGCCATTTTCCTGCCTCGGCCTCCGGAGTTCTCGAGTAGCTGGGAGTACAGGCAGCTGCCACCAAGCTCGGCTAACGTTTTGCATTTTTAGCAGAGATGGGGCTTCACCATAATGGATAGGCCAGTCTTGAACTCCTGACCTCAGGTGATCCACCCTCCTCGACCTTCCAAAGTGCTGGAATTACAGGTGTAAGCCACCTCACCTGGCCCAACTAGGTGCTCTTATTCTCTGCCATCTGTTTTCCAAAATCCTCCTTTCCCCTGTGGGTGACCTGAAGATGAGGTTGGGCAATGCTGGGTGAAGCACCCACATCTGTGTACCTGCATGCCTGCAGAACTGTAGGCTGTACCTGCAGTGTGCAGAGGAGTTCTTCTGATTTTGCTCTCTGTCTTCCAGGCATCTGGGCAAACAGTGAGCAGGTACTGGAGGATCAGAGGGTCACCTTCTCGACTGGCAATGTGGAAACTGTTCCAGCCATCTTTGTTCTTCAGGAGTGGATTAGCGCCATGTTCCACCAGGTCCTGGATCACCCCCAGGTTCTTCCTTGTGCAGGCCATCATCAGAGGAGTCCTAAGGCCAACCAGGAGAAGCTGTCAGATGGAAGCAGCTGAGACATGAGAAGCAAGAGGCCAGGTCTTCAAAACACATATATCCTTTGCACAGATGGAAAACCTAGAGGATTCAGGGGTCTGGGAGGCAGGAAAACAGCTTTGACTGGCAACGTCTGTGCCTTCTGTGAAGACACTGGGAGAAATAATAAGGGTAAAATGATTGTTACGAATGTGTACCTAGAGGAGGGATACCTGGGAGACAAAGCTGCTTAGGAGCTAGTTCACAGGATAGCAGTGAATTGGGACAGAGCTAAGAAAACCCACAGAAAACCCTCAAAACATAACCAGGTCTATTCCCCTGCCCCAGTGGGTAAGATGTAGTTCCCTATTTTCCTGAAGAGGTTCACACCCTCTAACGAACCTGACCTGTGGAGTACCAAAATCAGTGTCAATCTAACTAACGAAAGGCAATTGGCTTGTATGATGGTGCAGTACAGTGTCTCTGTGGTGGTGGTGGTTATGCAAGGCTACACGTATGGGATACAATGGCACAGTGCTCTACACACACACGTTGAGGGAATAACTGAGGAATTCTGAACAAGGATATTGATTGGAGCAATGTCAACTGAAACAATGCATTGGTGCAGAAGTAACAGCTAAATGTCCCTAGAACATCGCATCCGGAGACTATCTGTAGCGCACACAATTCATTGGTGACATTCTCTTTGATTATATTCTACACTACTCTGTGCTTTAGAAAGGGAGGCGACTGCCCTGACCAGTTAACTCACAAGGGCAGAAGGAGGGACTCTGCAGGTCATCTGCGTTTTAAAGGAAAGTTGGGCAGGCGGTCCCGGCCGCCACGCAGGCCTTGGGTGAGAACTAGGAGCTGCGAACAATTATGGTGCCCAACGGGACGGAGAAGCACAGGGAACTCGCTACGACTTTGCGGGGAGAGGGAGGCGAGGTGTCTCTCCGCCCCGCACCTACCAGTCCGCCTTCTTCAGGGAGTCGACCGCTGCCCCTCGGCCCAGGAGGTAGCGCACGCAGTTCCGGTGGCCCATGGAGGCCGCCTCGTGCAGGGGCCGCTTGTAGTCTCGGTTGGCGGCCTCGATGTCCATGCCCCAGGCCTCGGCCAGATAGGCCAGCACGTCCAGACGCCCGTGGCGCGCGGCGCAGTGCAGGAGGGTATCCCCGGCCGGCCCCGGGCAGCCCGCTGCCGCCAGCGGCTCCTCCTGCAGGGCGCGGAGCCGGCCCTCCTGCACCAGCCTAAAGAGGCGCCGCGGATCCCGCGGCCGGGCCATCGCCGCGGCTTGGGCCAGGCTGTGCGCGGCGGCGGGCGGGACACCGGCGGCCGGGCAGGGAGAAGCCGAAGGCGAGGGGGACCTTCCGCCTCTTCCCGCGACCCGCCGCGCACCGCCCCGCGCAACCGGGTCCCGGCAGAGCAGCCCCCTCACGCCTCCGGCCTGGTCTCCAGGCGGGCGGCCCCCTCACACTCCCCGGCTGCCCCGCGTGGGAGAAGCCGCAGTCCCGGGCTCGGGGCGGTTTTTCCTCAGAGACAGGGCGGTCCGGGGTGACCACGCTCCAGGGGCGCGGAGGGACCTGGGGACCAGAGAGCGCTCGCGTCCGCCATCCTGAAGCTGTCGCGGCCCGCGCGTGATTCGGCGCTGAACATGTGAGAGAGTGGGGAGCGCCGCTCCTCCGCGAATTCCCGAAGCGGAGGGTCTGGGAGGGCGTGCACGGCCTCGTCTCACGCCGGCAGGGTGGCTCCAGAGTCAGCCGGGCCGGAGCGTGACCAGCCCCGCACGCTTCCGCAGGGACGCCCCAGCCTCCAGCTGCTCGGGGCCGGCGTTCCAGCGCTCCGCCCCCGTCCCCGCCCCTTGACGGCCGCAGCTCCGCGGGGACCCGGGGAGCTCGAAGGAACTCTGGGAAAGTTTCCTCGCTCCTCCTCTGCCCGAGCGGAAGCGCAGATGGGGCGTGGCCCGGTACAGTGGCCTCGCCTCCACCAGTTGCGCATTTCTATTGGTCATAGGGACCGTCCGTCAGCACGCCCCCTCCGGTCTCGCGTCCCGATTGGCCACGGGGGCCGTCTGTCCGGCTCCGGCGGCGGGCGCTTCCCGAGGCTGCGGTGGGGCGGAGCTCGCAGAGGAAGTCGGCGGCCGTCTCGGGCTCCTGGTCCCGGCCAGAGGAGGAGCTCACTGCCGGGGGACGCTGGGCTGGGCGGCCGGCGGCGCGAGCCCGGCGGTGGCGGCGGGGCTCGGGTCCGGAGCGCCACAGTGCGTGAGGCCGCAGACGTGGCAGGGAGCGTGGGAGGGGCTCCACGATGTAGAAAACTTAACCTTCGGGGTCCTGCGCTGGGGGTCCGGGCCCGGGGTGGGGCTGTGGGGGCTCCGGGGGCGCGGGGCCGGGCTCGGGAGAACGCGGGCGTGGGAGCTCGGCCGCCCGGGCCATGGGCAGGGGGAGGGCGCGGCGGGGGTGCGCGGGGGAGGTCAGGGCGCTTACTGAGCTTGGCCAGGAGCGGCCCCCGCGCTGCCCCCAAGGCCAGGAAGGCGCAGCGTTTGGTTTCTCGGGGCTGGAGGGACACGCGCGGGGACGTGGCCTCGGCTGCTGGAAGGCCGGGCTTTCCCGTCTGCTCTGACGTTTTGACCTTGGGCAAGTCATTTTCCGCTGCTCTCTGTCCCTGTGTCATCGGTAGCCTCTCTGTCCCTCACCTGAGCATGGGAAGCCTAAGGCGATGTGGGAGGCCTGGCGCTGGTGGAGGGCACGGCGAGAGCTGGGCAGGCGGTGAGCGATGGAAGAGGCCAGTAGGTGTTGGGTTCCTCACCGGACCCGATTAGGTGCCAGTCACTTCACGTCTCCCTGTTTTCAGTCCCTTTAGCGGGTAGTATGGGAGTCGCTCCTGTTTGCCAGACCTAAAAAGGAGCACCGTTTACATTTTTTATTGAACTCTTTGGTCCGCTGACAACCCTGTAAGGCATCAGTCAGGTTTTACAGGTGGGGAAGTGGAGGCCTGACAAAGTCAGTGAATTTCTTACAGCATTATAGGTAATAAAAGTCTTCTGGAAGGCAGGATGGTAGCGTGTGCCTCTGTGATAAAATACGCGGAGATAAATGAAAAGACTTCTGAAATGGGTCCATGAAGATAAGTCCATTTTACTCGTGAGCAGATTCAGTTTGGTTAAGGTAACAGTGTTGTGGATAGCCGGTGGAGACGGAACTAGTCAAGTATCAGCTTTTGCTGAGGTTATTGTGCTATCGTGCCTTGTCACTCCAAAAAAAAAAAAAAGGATATAAAAGTTGTTTGAAATGCACAAAAGTGTAGGGTGTGCCAGGCAGTGTTCTGACTGCTGCCGTTGAAGTTAGTGCAGATTGGAAGATGAGGCATCTGGTAGCTTCGTACTTGTTGCTTTTACCCCTGCCCCCTTCCAGTTTCAGATGACTCTATCTTCTCTTGCATTATGTCTCTAGTTTCCCTGTTTTTAAAACATAATTGCGACACATAGGTTCACAGTAGGTTGGAATGTATATATTTTTTGAGACTGAGTCTCGCTCGGTCGTCCAGGCTGGAGTGCAGTGGCATGATCTCGGCTTACTGCAACCTCCGCCTACTGGGTTCAAGTGATTCTCCTGCCTTAGCCTCCCAAGCAGTTGGGATTACAGGCATGTGCCACCATGCTCGGCTGATTGTTTGTATTTTTAGTAGAGATGGGGTTTCACCATGTTGGCCAGGCTGGTCTTTAAACTCCTGGCCTCAAGTAATCCACTCACCTTGGCCTCCCAAATGCTGGGATTACAGGCATGAGCCGCCGTGCCTAGCTAGGTTGGAATATTTAAACTCAGGATAATTGGTTACTTCATTGGTGTTCCACATTCAGTTCTGCCTCTTCTGCCTTCTCTGTGAACTTATTTTGGTCTGTATCCACCTTTGAATAAGTAAGTGATACTGCATGTGAATCTGCCCCACAGCCCCTGTGATTTTCTGGGGCTAAAGCTCGGTCTAGAGGGGCGGAATCTGCACAATAAGCTAATGGATGAGGCTGTTTCCTGGGTCTCGCTGTTTTCCGGTTGGGCTGCTCATTTCTTTTGTGCAGGCGTGTGGAGTTTGTGGTCTGGCCTTTACTGTCACTTCACATGTAGTCGTCATTGGTGCCGACTTGCTCCCTGGCTATCTTTCCTTTTTCTCTCGTTGTTTTTCATGAATGTGCAGCATTCAGCCATGCCCATAGGTATACTCATCATATCACATGTTTTGTGATTCGTGAGTGTGTGTAGATGCCACTATTGGTATTAGATTTAGAATTCTAATTTTTGGTTTGTTGCCATCATCTTTTCTCTGCTTAGCCCATTCCTCTATCCCTCCTATGCTGATTTTATTTGGAAACTGAATTTGGATTCCATCTTTGCCTTTCTGGCTGTGAAATTACCTACTTTTAGAAAGCATCTCAAATCTTATATCTGTAGCTGTCATTCACATACCTTTTGAAGACCAGTCTCTTATTTCAGAGGACCTCCCGGAGATTAAACATGGTGTTCCCCATGTAACTTAAACAAAACATTATTTTTAAAACTAGGACTTTTTGGCCTCCCTCTCACTCTGGGGGAAAAAGCGACTTAAACAAAAACATTGTCTCTTGTTCCTTAACATGGTTTTAATGATATTAACATCTCTTTTAACGTTCCAGAAATGTCAGTTATCCTGTTGCTCTTTCTCTTTTATCTTTCTCATTCAGTCTTGTCAAAAAAAGCCATGTTCTTATTCACTTGTCCTCTCTGCCCAATGTCTGCTGCTCTCAGGCCTTTGCCAACTCTCACATAGGTTGGTATGGTGGCTTTCTGACTTGTTTTCCTGACAATCTCCCTGTCTCTCCATCTTCCATCCTCTCTCCCGAGTCACTGCCCTAAAGTGTAAATTGGATCGTGTAATGACTCTGCTTTAAAAATTGGATGAGGCCGGGTGTGATGGCTCATGCCTGTCATGCTACCACTTGGGGAGGCTGAGGTGGGTGGATTGCTTGAGCTCAGGAGTTCGAGACTAGCATGGTCAACACGGTAAAACCCTGTCTCTACTAAAATAAAAAAAATTAGCTGGGGATGGCAGTGCGCACCTGTAGTCCCAGGTGCTCAGGAGGCTGAGGCAGGAGAATTGCTTGAACCCAGGAGGCGAAGGTTACAGTGAGCTGAGATTGTGCTATTACAGTCCAGCCTGGACTGTAATAAAAAAAAAAAAAAAAAAAAAAAATTGAATGATACCTACCTGATAAAGTCCAGTTTCTTTTATTGAGCCCGATTTAGCATTATGTTTAAGGACCTTTGTAGTCTGTGGCTCCAAATTCCTTTTCCAGCTTTGTATCCTGTCATTCCTCATCAGGGAGCCTCTTGTGCTGATGAAACCCAGCTTTCCTGCCACACTAATGCATTGTTCATGCCTCTGTATTTTTGCACACATTGTTTCCTTCTGCCTTACTGAATCCCATGATTCTTTCCAGGTTCAACTCTTCCTGAAGCCTTTTTCAACATGCCTAACTCTATTTACGTTTCTTTACTATCGTAACACTTCATGCATGCATTTATGTCATTTTTATATTGCTTTATGTTTAGTAACTTGTGTTTGTTTTGGTAGCCGCCTTATGGGCAGGCTTATTCACTTTTGTATCACTAATGTCTAAAATAGCATTTAACGCCAAGGATACCACAAGGCAAAGCCCCCGTAGAGTTTATAATGAATCTGGGACATAGCAGATACATAAAAGTAGTTTTATGTGGAATGAATTGACTATAGGAAAAGTCTTTGAAGTATATAAAATTATATCCTAGACCATAAATACTGATCCTTCTCTTGTTTTTTCAAACATTCCTTCCTTTCCTTATGAGAAACATAGAACGGAAAGTCTGGCCATCCTTGCTGGCTGTCATACATGAGTGCTGTCTCCAAGGGAGTCATAGGTATCTCAGATGTGAGAGGATCCAGGGGAGATTGCGCTTACTGCCTGGGACCTTTTGGATTTCTGGAGGAGCAGGCTGTGGTAGCCTGGCTCTGCATCAGTGAATGCCCGGGGAAGGAACTGGAGCTGTATTTTGCTTGCTTTCTGCATTCGTTTCTTTCAGAGCTAATAGGGACACAATATTTTGAATTTTTTCCATTTTGAGTCTACAGCATTTAGTGATATTTTCTTTATAGTTATGTTTTCTAAATACTTTTCAATTTCAATTTCTTCAGTTCTGACATTTTACAATGATTTTTAAAACTGTAATATGGAAATTAAACTTGAGGCTTTCAGAAGCTGCTTTTAAGCTTTCTAGATACAGAGAGAAGAATGTCACAGTAGGAAGTAAACTGGACTGGGGAGTCAGAAGACCCGGGTTCTTGTGTTGGCGCTGTCACTCACAAGCTACGAGGTGACTTCAGGCGAGTCTTCTCTGCTCCCCAGGTTAATCATGGCACAATTGTAGGATTGCTCTGAGGGTCAAATGAGAATATAGGAAAGAACTGCAAAAGCTGTAAAGCACTTAGGAGCTATAGGATAGTTCAGAGCTTCAAAGCCAAGGAAGACAGCCTACACTTGAGAAGGAAGGGCTGTAGCCGTGCATGTGTTCCTTTAATCAGCAATTATTTATGAAGCAATATGTGTTGCATGCTGGGCGTAAATTCTTCTCTACTCCTTCCCACTAGACCAGAGAGCTTTTAGTCTGGGATGGAAGACATATTAAATATAGGCTTATACAACTAATTGTTATTAATATGATATGTAGTACAATAAAATTATATTAAAACAATAATTTGTGTAAGACACATATTAAATGCACACTTACACAAAGAATTGTTACAAGTATTTCGGCTGCAGGGGGTGGTTTCGTTCCTGGCTTGA